CAAAAATAGCCTCAGATATGTACTACCAGTATGACCCTGGGCAAGTCACTTAACCCTATTTGCCTCAGTTTCCTCATCTGTAAAATGAACTGGAGAAGGAAATGGCAAACCACTTTACTATCTCTGTCAAGAAAACCCCAAATGGGGTGACAGAGAGTTGTACATGACTTCAGTCAACTGAATAACAACAAAATAATGAAAAAAAAAGTATTTACTGAAAAGACAAAACACTCTATGTAGCCTGACAGTTAATCATGTGAGGAAGACAAGTTTCTTAATTTTAAAGGTTGAAGAACAGGTGAGACTCCGTGGCAAAGATTGTTGTTAGCTTGGTGAGTGGGTGCCGTATTCTTAGGCCCAGCATCTAAACTCTCACTGTAGTAAGTCTCATGGCCACTAGATGGCAGGCCATCTAACCAAATCTACCAGGAGCTCTCCATTGACCAACCACCAGGCTGGGCCCGCTTTTGATTTCTCTACAGGGGCTTCTTGACCCTGGTTTCCAGGGGGCTTCATTAGATGACAATTCATCGTCCTCGGGACCTTAAGACTTCTGACAAGCTTTGGATACCGTTGCCATGACTACACTAATCTCTCTCTTCCCCATAGGCACACAGGGTCATCAGACCCAGCAGCCTAATGTCTTCCTACCCAGACAGCATCTCCCCTCCTTCCCCACCCCAGACATCTCTTGCCTGCTTTCCCCAGACAAGCAGGCACCAGCTCCCTGATCGATAATATCAGGGCCAAGCAGGGCTGACATCCGTTGTGATGTATCCAGGCTAAACTGGGAGGTGGGGGCAGGGGGATAGCATGTCGAGAAATCTCATCTGTTTTTAACTCTTGAAGCTGATAGGGTTACAGGAGAGATATTAAAGGTCATCGAGTCCATGTAAGTCTTCATTATACAAAAGAGGAAACTGAGGCGCAGATGCACTAAGTTGCTTGTTCAAGGTCACAGAATGAGTGCCTGTGTGGCAGAACCCAGATCCAGCTGACTTTCTATCAAACATTCTACCCCAAGTGTCCTCTTTTTACCTCCCTCAGTACCAAAGGGTTCCCAAACATCTTTGGCTGACCCACATTTTATTTTATTTTTTTTTCCAGACCAACCAATTAACAGATGCTTTCACCCACAGAACAACCATCAGAAATCCAAAGCTGCTTCCCTTGTCCCAAGAGCACCCTCATGGATAATAGATGTGAAGAGAGGACAGAGACATTTGTCACTCCAATGACCTGGAGGTCCTCTGTCCATAGCAATCAGCCACTCCTCACCCAGTGGTGAGGGGGGCATTGATTTGATTCCTCGTCTTTTATTGGAAGTTTCCTGGTGCCTCATTTACCAAGAGCTTCTCATCTCACTCCCAGCTCTTAGGAAACCCAAGAGCAGTTGTCTATAGAAGAAATGGGAGCTGTCACAGCCTGCAGATAACTAACAACTCTCCCCAGGAAAGTGGTCTAAATGACAAGGGCCTGAAATGGATATTGATTGATATGAAAGAGGGTGGGAAGGGAGATGTGTACTTTAAGTTCTCTGAAGTCTTTTAGGGGAAGCAAGAGTCCTAGAGGTCTGGATAGGAAAGAGTTACCTGAACCAACCAGAGGAATTGCCCTCCTCTGGCAACAAACTTTCTAAAAGGAACAAGACAAGCTTTAATAAGTGAATCCAAATCTCTGTGTTTTGCTCGAGCATGTGTAAGGGCTTTCTTGCATAAATATCAATGCTGCAGATGGGAAATGGCACATAAATGAGATCCCCAAAGATGAGGGAATGCACCGAGACAGTCTGTTTCTCACTTCAACTACCAAGCAACATGGCATCATGAAATGTGGAGCTACAAGGGCCCTCAGATATTTTAGGATCATGGGATCCAAGGTTTGGAGCTTGAAGAGAAATCCAAGACTCTGTAATCTAATCCCATCTTATCAAACCCCATCATTAGACAGATCAACAGAATCACAATATCCCATCTATTCATCCCACAAGCACTTACTAAGGGCCTCCAGAAAGGCACTGGACATGCTAAAATTAAAAAGAAAAAGACAGTGCCTGCTCTCAAGAAGCTGACATACTGGAAAGAAAACTGTGGGCACAGATAATGAAAGGCAAAATCTCATACAAAATAGGTACAAAATGATTTTGTGGGGTTGGGGGAATCATCAATATCTGGACCAATTTCAGACCCGTTAATGGCCATTTACTCCCACTCATTCTTGAACTAGTATCCACTCCAATAAGATGATTTTAGAGGAGAAAGTGAGCCTGGTGACTTTGCACAGCCCTCCCTCACTTAAAACCAATTCACTTGCAACTCATGGCATCATCTTCCAGATGTCATGGTCCTCTTCGAGAAAGAAGGACAAACCACACACACAACTCTGACAAGAGGTCATCTAGCCTTACGAGCTGCCCATTCCCTACTGAGGCACTTCTACTTGCTGTCCAGTGGGAGTGAAGAAGGCCTTGAACTTGGAGGACTAGATCTAGAGTCAGAAAGACCTGAGTTTGAATCCCACCCCACATCTTTATTAGCTGTGTGACCCCAGGCAAGTCAATTAACCAATCTGTCCATTTGCAAAAGGGGGATAATAATGTCTATTTCCCAGAGTTGTTGTGAATATCAAATGAGATAATATGTAGAAAGGGCTTAGCATAGGGCCTGGACATAGCTGCTGCTGTTTGTCCCTTGTTTTCCAAAGAGGACCAGTGACATCACAAGGTGATGTCTTGACTTCTGCAAGAATTGGATTTAAGTGAGGCACAGTTGCACTAAGTCCTCAGCTTCATTTTCTTTTCCAGAGTTAATAAAGTCTAGTGGCAAGACAAAAGTCAGGACAGCTGGTGATGGCCTGGGATATAGTGGATGACTCTAGTGTCTTTGATGTCCGACCAAACTCTAAGCACACTAAGCAGCTTTCATAACCATCAGAACAAATTGTTCTCATCTACCCATTCCTCACATGCTTGGGGTAGAAACTCCGCTAACTCACGGACAGGTTTGAGGCCTGTTGGTTGCCCTCAAACTGGTTTAGCCCATCTGCCAAGATGGTTTACTGGGGTGTAGCCTCTGTGCATGGGACAGCTTCTTAAAGGCGCCTGTAAGAGTTGGGTGAACCAGGTGGATACCAAAGGTGGATGAGCAGCCTGAAAAGGGCTCAAGGGGCTCTCACACCACAGGAGCTGGTCCTGCTGAACACCTTATAGGTCCAATACACCTGGAAAATCATAGGTGCATAATAAATGCTTGTTCCCTTCCCCTCCCTTTCATGACCCTGGGCAAATCAGCTTTCTGGCCCTAATATGTAAAATGAGAACCATAATAGCACCTAATTTCCAGAGAGGTGTTGTGAGGATCAAATAAGATACTACGTATAAAGAGCTTATCACAGTGTATGGAACTTAGTAGGCACTTAATACATGCTTATTCCCTCCCCCCCCATGATCCTGGACTAATCACTGTAATCTGTCAAATGGGAATAATAACAGCACTTACCTCCCAGAAATATTGTGAAGATTGAATGAGATAGTACGTGAATGTACTTTGCAAACCTTAAAGCATTATTTAAATGTCATCTATTTATTATTATTAGTTTCGTTATTTCACATGACAGCTCTTGAAGACAGCTGTTATGACCCAGTTCCTCCCTTCACACTCCAGAATAAACAGTCCCTGATGAGGAAACAGGAGCAGAATGGCCAAGGATCTAGCCCAAGGTCACACAGAACTAGTAAGGAGCAGAGTCATTATTCAAACCCAGGTCCTCACACTCCAGAGCCCAGGCATTGAGCCATCACCCAGATGAAAAGCCGACTTCCCACCAATGATCACAATCCTCTGGTCCACTAGTGATGTTTGGAGGAGTTACAATAACATATACTACTTACTACCTATGTGACCTTGGGCAAGTCACTTGACCTGTGTGGGCCTTGCTGGATGATATCTAAGATCCCTCCCGCTTCTCAATTTATGACACAATGATGCCATAGAAATAGGAGTCTTACCGTACAGAGATCAATTTATTGCAAGAATCCAGATCATGATGTGGTATCCTCCAATGCTTCCTGGGTCCATGGAATCTTAGATTTGAAAGAGACTTCAGAAGCTTCCTAGTCTAACCCTCTCATTTTACAGATGAGGAAAATAAAGTCAATATTGGTCAACTGACTTGTCCAAAGTCCCAGAGTTAGTAAAGATCAGATGGCGGATTTGGACCAAGATCATCTGAGTACAGAGCCAGGCTTCTTCCTACTGGGGCATGCTGCCTCTCTTTAGGGACAAGCTTGGTCATTAGAATCACACAGCTTTCAGTTCAGGGTTTTTGACATTCCCAAGAGTATTGTGGTAGTCACTGTGCATATTATCTCTCTATGGCTGATTGTTTCCCTCTACATCTGTTTAAACAGGTCCCTCCCATGCCTCTCTGAATTCTTCAGAGCCATGCTTTCTTCTCACACAATAATATTCCAGTAATTTATGTGTCATAATTTCTTTAACTATTCCTTAATAATTGGTGATCTCCTTAGTTTCCATTCTTTGCTACTGTAAATAGTAATAATAACTGCTCTGCATATTTTGCTTTGCATGGGGCTTTGCTTTCTGTTTTTGACCCCCTTGGAATAACATACCTAACAGTATTTCCCCCAGTTTCTGAACTAAAATGTTGAGAACAGAGATAAAGAAGAAATTTAAAAACCTAAATCACCACCATTACATCTGCAGTAGGCCAGAGACAGAAATCTTATGACTCCCTGGGAGAAAACAAGGTTTTCTGACACTTCTGGTATTTACAATCCTTCACAGCCTATACCTAAAGGACTCTGTTGCTTCTCATTACCAACATAAGCTCATGATGTAAAAGTTCCAACTAAGGAGAAAGGCAGCCTCAGCTACCGAAGCGATAGGCTGGGATTCATGGAACCTGGATTTTTGTCTCAATTTCAAAGCCTTAAGTGGCATTGGAAGACCGCTTCATTCCCCTCGCCTTCCCGTTGGAAGGTGCCAAAGATGAAGCCGATCGCATTTGCTGAAATCTCGCTGTCGTCTCGGAAAATGGCATTTAAAAAGTACATGGATATTATTGCTGGCAACAGGATTGGGAGAGCTGAGAAGCAAAGGGGCGGGGGGGGGGAGATAAATAATCTTCTAAGTACAGCAATGAGCAAATTGGATGACTGGAGAATGAGACCGCACCGACGCCGTTTAGATGAGAAGTAAATCAATCCCGTGTGCTTTGGTTAATGCTGGCCTGGTGATTTAGCACCCGCCGGAGCTAAAAGCATCAAGGGCCGGACATTGCGTGATTCACCATTCCGCCTGCGGAAATGAATTATGGTCTGGGTGCATAAGGGAGGGCGAGCAGCTCATGGGCTCCTCTTGGCCCTGTCAGCTGAGAAAGCAGCCCAGAGACTCGAAGAATCCAGAGAGGGCACATGTGAAAATGGGGCCGAGCCCTCATTACCCACATCTGAAAACTACAGAAATCTGGATTGCCTTTTTTTTTTTTTAAGAAATTGCTAGTTCCTCCCAAGATATGCAGCAGAGAGGTTATGCATACTAGTGGATAGAGCAATGCGCTTGGAATTAGAAAGATATGGGTTTGAATCTCACCTCAGACATTAATTAGCTATGTGATCTCCGGTAAATCATTTCACCTTGTTAGACTTCAGTCTCCTAATCTAGTAAATGAGTAGGGTGCACTAGATAGCCTTATGATCTTAGACTTCCAGCTTTACATCTATGATTGTGGGAAAGAGGCCAATGGAGTTCTTTGAGAATTTGTCAAATCACATGAGGACAGAGAAAAACTAATCAGTGGGTTCTTTTTGTCATGGGCCCCTTTGCTGACAGGCGAAATCTATGGATCTCTTCTTGGAAGAATGTCCTTAATGCAGAAAATAAAATATTTGGGTTATGGAAAAAAACAATTATTTTGAAATAATTGTATATAAATTCATATATAATTAATAATCGTTTATATGTAAATATATAAAATTATAAAAGAAATTATATATAATGATATATAATTGTGATATAATTAAATTATATATACATATGTATTTTTTCTTCTTCATAGAATAGAAGTAAGCACAAGGACTCTTCTCATTTTTTTTTCTTTGTAGCCCCAGCACTTAACACAGAGGTTGGCACAGAGCACATTGTTACAAATGGTTGTTGGATTCGATTGAATTGGAAACCTGCTAGCTGATGTACATATGGTCTGGGCATCAGCCCTGATCTGGGCACTTGATCATCATGACTGGGAGTCTGGACACCTAGGTTCCAACCTTGGCTCTGCCATTTGAAAATAGTCATTCTCTCAACACTAGGATGCTTCCTGTTCTTATAAAATTATCTCTAAGGTTCTTTCCATAGCTAATAGTCTATGGACCTAATTATAAAGGTCCCCTAACTGTCTCAGGAGGTAATTGTTAACCTAAATTAATCTCTAATTGGTAAATTTCCAGCACTATAGCAAATTAAGGGAAAGAAAGCAAGATATAGGCAGCAGGGAGGGGGATGGATGGTTTTTGGCTGAGAGGGGAAGGAATTCTTACTGAGAGACCTGCCTGGGAGTCTCTTCTAGGCTCATCCTTCACTTATTACTGGTTTTTCTTCTCCTTCTCCTCCTCCTCCTCCTCCTCCTCCTTCTCCTTCTCCTCCTTCTGCTATTTATTTTTCTTCATTATTATTATCTTAGCTCTATCATTCATTTGCTGTGTGACTTTGGGCAAGCCATTTCATTTCTGTGGGTCTCCTCTTTTTTCATTTGCCAAAATAAAGGACTTAGGAAAAACATTAGATGAGATGACCCCACCAGTCCCTCTAGCTCTAAACTGATCATGTTTTCATAAGAAATATATTACTTTCATCCTTTATTTGCAGGCCACCACCTTCTCTGGCCCTTGCTGGACTATTACAACGGCCTCATCCTTCTCATTCTCTCATCTCTCCAATCCACCCTCACATAAATGCCAAAGTGGTTTCCCTAAAGATCTGTTCATGTTACTTCCTTGCTTAATAAACTCCAATGGTTCCCTAGTACCTCCAAATATGTTTCCCTATTTGAATCTTAAAGTCCTTTAAAATAGGGCCCCAAACTGTCATCATATGATACTTATACCACCCTCATAGAGCCCTGAAATTAGAGTCAAGAAAACCTGCATCATATTCCACCTTTGGCACTTATTAGCTATATGTCTCTGGGTGAGTCCTTTACACTAACTGAACCTCAGTTTTCTCACCTGTAAAATGGACTAGAGGATCTCTAAGATCTCTTCCATCTCTAAATAACTAAAACCTATGATCATGCTTTTCCAGACATTACATATTACTCCTCTTCAGGCTTCCTATGTCACAGTTAAACCAGTCATCTTACCCTTTGTTACTGTAGGCAGCTCCTTTTGCTTCTCTGGGCCCTTTTACTGGCTGTTCCCTATGTCTGGCATTCACTCCCTCTTTGCCTCCATCTCTCAGAATTTCTAGTGTCCTTAAAGACTCAGTTCATTTGTCATCTTCTCCACGAAACCTTTCTTTATCTCTCTACATAGCTAGTGACTTCCACCAGGGAGACTGCAGGGAAATGTTTATCAGTTGAACCTCTGTTTATTTTTATTTTTTTTAAAGTTTAATCTGACACATTTTTAAGTTTAATCTGCCTTATTAACATTTTCTCCATCACCTTTTTAAAAGTCTAGGCAAAAAATAAAACAATCTAACAGCCCCTTTCTGAGTGTAAATGTCCATGCTGAAAATTTGACAATCAGATCTTCAAGCTGGCTGTAGAATATTTCTGTTTTCACCTTGCAGCTACTTTGCATATGCCCCTCCCCATGTACATATTAAGTCCTGTGATAGGCAGGAAACTCGATGAAAACAAAGGCTCTTTCAGTCTGGCCTTTGTATCCCCATCGTCTAAGACAGGGGTGGGGAACCTGTGGCCTTGACTTAATAAAAAGATTTGTTCTGGGAAAATTGGATTCAGTGAAAGGGCCACACTTGAGGACCTAGAGGGCCACACGTGGCCTTGAGGCTGCAGGTTCCTCACCCCTCGTCTAGGACAGTGCCTAACACGTAAGTGATTAAATGCTGACTGATTGACTTTTTATGAGTTAGAGGTTCTCTGCACACAGACCAAGCATTGGTTCTCTGAGCGGGGGAGGAAGCCCATGTTACACTGGAGAATATTTTTCCTTAGTCTCCTTTATGCACACAATAGTCTAGCCCTTCTGGCTATTTTTTTTTTTTTTATTCTTCATATACAACACTCTGTCTCTCACCTCCAGACCTGGAATGAAGTGTCATCACATCTCTGCCTCTTGGAATCCCCAGTTTCCTTCAAAGTTCAGCTCAATTAGCTCCTTCTACAGGTGCCTTTCCTGACCTCACCCCATCCCATCTATTAGAGCCTACACTACTCCCCAAGTATCTTGTCTCATATTTTGCATCTGTTCCTGTTGTATCCTCTGACTAGAATGCAAATTCTTTGAGGGCAGAGATTGTTTTGTTTTCTTTTCTTCTTTTTTCTCCTTTCCTTTCCTTTCTTTTTTCTTATCTTCCTTTGTCTCATCATTTTTTCTTTTCTTTCTTCCTTCTCTCCTTCCCATCCTTCCTTCCTTCCTCCCATATTTCCTTCCTTTCTTCCTCCTATCCTTCTTTTCTTTCTTCTTCCCTTCTTCCTTCACTCCCTCCCTTCCTTTCTCACTACCTCTTTCCCTTCCTCTCTCCTTCCCTCCCTTCCTTCTTTCCTTTCTCCTTTCTTTCTTCCTTCCCATCCTTCCCTCTTTTGTTCTGCCTTCCTATCTCTCTCCCTTCCTTTCTTCCTCCCTTTCTCCCTTCCTTCTTTCTCTCCTTCTTTGATTTTTTCCTTCTTTCCTTTTTTTTTATCCTGATTACCTAGCCCATAATAAGCACTTTAAGAAATGCATATTGATTGGTCAATTGATTAAGCAGTAAATCTCAAGAAGACAGAGGGTTTCCTATAACCTTTGTTATTGTTCACTATTTTTTTTTCACTGCCCTATAGAACTTTAAAGTTTGCAAGGTTCTTTGAATACGGTATCATACTGTATTTCTTGTCTCCTTAGCCAGAGTGTGAGCTACTCAATCACTGTGGCCATGCCCTTGATCAGGGATGGGGAACCTGTGGCCTTGAGGCCACAGGTGGCCCTCCGTGTCCTCAAGTGCAGCCCTTTGACTGAATCCAAACTTCACAGAACAAATCCTCTTCTTAATAAAAGGATTTGTTCTGTAAAACTTGCACTCAGTCAAATGCCCTGACCCAAGGACCTAGAAGTCCACATGTGGCCTCCAGGCTGCAGGTTCCCCACCCCTGCTGACCTTGGAGATGTATATTGAAGAGGAAAGAGCAGCAATCCAGTGCCATGATTGAGAACTTCACAGCCTTATCCAAATCACTTCACTTCTTAGACTTTGAATTTCTTTATCAGTGGGTTAGGGATCATCATACAGTGACTAGGTTATGTCAAGAAAGGTGCTTTTTGAAACTTAACATGCTATGGAAATGTGAATTATTATGATTATTCACCCAGCATCAATCTGGGTATGAGCTCACCTTGACAGTTAACAAATAATTAACTACAAAGAACTATAATAAAGGAGCCCACCAAAGAAACCTAAGATTTGGGGGGAAAATAAGGTTAGCTGGTCAGTTCCCATGAAAAAAGGGGTTACCAGAGATTGACTTTCGTGCTAAGCTGACATCCTCTCAACATTGGGAGTATGTTGGTTAGAACTCATGGAATGAACTTTGGAAGGACACTGAGAAGAATTCTACATAATGAGCAAGAATTGGTTGGAATCTGCATCTTTGGAATGAACATCCCCACTGATTGGAATATTGGAGTATTTCCAAATTACTAAGCAGAACACTTAGCACATAAAGGGCATCCAATAAATACTTGTTAAATGAAAGACTGATTGGTAAGACTCTTGGAGACTAGCCTGGAAAACTGATCAATTTTCAAATTCAAAGTTAAGGGAAAAATTCAAACCACATCAATGGTATTAATTAATTCAATGTCAAACAGGCTGTAGCATTAGTGAAGAGTTTTTGCAACTCTGCCTGTTTCAATCAACCCCATTTTGATCCATCACCATCCACATGTATGTGAAGGTATAAAATTCTAGGGAGTGAGGGTTGTGAAACTCAACCCTGAAATTTAATGATGATTCTCATTTCTCTTCAGTCAGTTTCA